TTTTTTTTTTTTTTACCTGATTCGGTTGGGAGTTAGTTGCAGATATGACATTTCCCCCTAAATACTTCATTCAGCATATATCTCCTAAGAACAAGGGCCTCCTCCTATATAACATAATATAGTTGTTACACACATAATTTATCATTAATACACATTATGTCTTCTATATTCATATTTCTCCATGTCTCAATAATGTACTTGAGAACATTTTGTTTTGTTTTGATTTTTGTTCTGTTTTCACTCTGGGATCCCATCAAGAATCATGCGTTGCATTTAGTTGTAATATCTTCTTCATTTCCCTTTATACAGAAATGTTTCTTAGCCTTTTTTGAACATTCATGTCAGATGTTTTTGAAGAGTGTAGGCCAGTTGTTTTCTAGAATATTTTCAGTTTGTATTTATCTGAGTTTCATCATGATTAGATGCAGGTTAAACATTTTTGGCAGGAATATTACATAGATATGTATTTTTCTTAGTGCAACACATCAGGAGGCACATAATGTCAATTTGTAGTATTTTTACTATTTTTTAAAGAAAATTTGCAATTTCTGTTGATATTTCCCCTTTTATCCAACAGTTGTTTAATAGAATTTGAAAAATTCCTAGTGAGAGAGGCTCTTTTATTTTTCATTGTTTTTAATATCTAGTTTTATGGCATGGAAATCAGAATGTTGTTTATATTTCTACTTTATCGAGTTTACTTGTGTTCTAATATCACTCTTCATGAATGTTCCATGTATACTTCAGAAGATGGTTCATTCTCTATCATCAGGGTAAAAGTTTGATAGATATATATAAGATTGACCTTATTGATCAGTTATTTAGGTCCTGTACTTTCTTATTTTTTTGTCAGCTTGATCTCTCTTGGAATGAGAATAACAGTACTTCAAAGTCTATTATTAGTGGGTTTCTGTGTATTTCTCTTTTCATCTCCCACAGTTTATGCTTTAAGGTGGTTGTGTGATTAGGTACACAAATATTGATAACTGTTATATTTTCATTATACTGCTAATTCTAGATTTTATAAAGTGTTTTATCTCTGTCTGACTTTCAGCTTGATTTTCCTTCCTGATATCAGGCCCACAACCCTTGATATCTTACTGTTTTCATTTGCTTTGTATACGTTTTCCCTTATCTTTTTTTTTATTGTGGTAACACTGGTTTATAACATTGTATAAATTTCAGGTGTACATCATTGTACTTCTATTTCTGCATAGATTACATCGTATTCACCACCCAAAGACTAATTACAATCCGTGACCACATACATGTGCCTAATCATCTCTTTCACCCTCCTCCCTTCCCCCCTCCCCTCTGGTAACTCCCACTCCAATCTCTGTCTCTATGTGATTGTTGTTGTTTTTATCTTCCATTTATGAGTGAGATCATACAGTATTTGACCTTCTCCCTCTGACTTATCTCGCTTAGCATAATACCCTCAATGTCCATCCATGTTGTCCCAAATGGCTGGATTTCATCATTTCTTATGGCTGAGTAGTATTCCATTGTGTATATATACAACATCTTCTTTATCCGTTTGTTCCTTAATGGGCACTTAGGTTGCTTCAAAGTCTTGACTATTGTGAATAATGCTGCAGTGAACACAGGGGTGCATGTATCTTTATGCATTGGCGCTTTCATGTTCTTTGGATAAATACCCAGCAGTGGAATAGCTGGATTGTATGGTAGCTCTATTCTTAGTTTTTTGAGGAATCTCCATACTGTTTTCCATAGTGGCTGCACCAGTTTGCACTCCCACCAGCAGTGTATGAGAGTTCCCTTCTTTCCACATCCTCTCCAACACTTGTTGTTTCCTGTGTTAATTATAGCCATTCTGAACAGTGTGAGATGATATCTCATTGTAGTTTT